CTGGCCAAAAAGGTTTTATGTGCCTGTGTACCTGATTTGCACATAAATCTCACCTCCAGAAGGTATTATAAAATTTTAATTATAGTCCAGCTGAAGCAAAGTGGCCCTGAATTACATCCAAACTTCTCCCATGCTGAGCAGAGGATTTCGTGTCTGGCAGTTTTACAAACCTCTTCTGCTGCCAACTTAACAGAATAATACTCAAAAACCTTGAGAGCCCTGAATGGAAGTGGCTATTAGTTACAAAAGTTCAATTATCAACAACAGCACCTGAATTGCTGAACCTCAGACCCAGCACAGCACGTCTCCATAACCAAATATCATCTCTTTCTGAATCACTGGAACATTTGCATGAGTCAACCTGAAGCAAAACAACCAGCCCTGCACACAAAGGATGCCTTTCTGTCCCCTGATCCATAGTGCTGCTTTGACCCACGCTGGGCAGGAACTTCTGGACCAGTGCTGAGCAGCTGGAGCTGCTGGAGGGCGAAGCAGTTCCAAGCAAAAGCAGCCAGTGAAATTTGGGAGAACACTGAAAACATCCCCATGTGTGTGAAACAAAAATAAAAGAAAATTCTTCTGCATAAGCATTTGGTTTAGGATTTTTTGTTTGTTGTAGTGTCTTTTAGCAACAGAAAAAGAGGCCAAGTAAAAGCAAAAGCAGCCCTAAATCTCTGGCCACCACCTTGCTCCATCTGTTACTAATCAGTATCTTGGACAATATGTCTTTTTTCCTGTTTTCTGCACAGCCAAAATCCCAGAGATTACACACAGGACATGGAAGTGTCTATGCTAAATGCTCTGACAGCAATGAAAACATCTCAGGTGTGGGTGAGAAGCATCAGCACAAACACAGATGTTTTGAGAGGGCATTGGCAAGGGCTGGGAGTGATGATCCAGGCCTGGAATCCACAGCCCTGGGCTGGGGCAACCAGCCACCAACCCCAGATAACCAGAGGAGGTTGATGCTGCCAGGGCAGCAGCCACACACACAAACTGCAATTCACATTTCTGAGGCTGAGGACTGAGGCTCCTTCAGGACCCTCCTTCCCTGTAAAGCCCTGCAGACTTCCCCTCAATCAATTCTCACATTCCCTCTCTGCACTCTGCTCCACAGACTGATCACGTTTGCCACAGCCAATATCACTGTGACACAAACCAGGAGGCAGCAAGGGGATCACTCAGCAGGAACAGAACAAATTACTTCTGTCTTCACAGAGGTTCAGCACCGAAATGTCAAATGGAACAGGTAGACAACCTGCTGAAAAGATTATTTTTTATCACACAAAACACACCAGAACCTCAGAGAAGCCCAGCCGAGCTCTGTCAGGTGTGGGATTGTGCCCGGCAGTCAGGAATTTGTTGTGCTAGGTGTGAATCCAGTTAAGGTTTGTTGCCCTTCCAGTCCACACTGTGACATTTATTTGCCATCACCTAGAGACAAGATATCCAGAGATTCACTGACTCTCCTCCATCTGGTTTAGTAATTTATGTATCTTTACCCTACAGAAAGCTGGCTCATGATGTCAGCTGGCAGGCCAGAGACAGACCCAGAAAGGTGCAGGACATCTTCAGAATGTGCTTTATGACTTATTGCCCTGTTCAATCAAAATCATTGTCTACTCTCTGATTCCAGACTCTCAGTTACAGAATGTACCTGTACAGGTTCAGGTACAGACAGGCACAAGATCCAGATGTGGCATTGCCATGACAACACACTTGTAAAACGAATTTGCTGTTTTTGTGAGATTCACCACTTGAGAGAGAAGCAGCAGTAAAGCTGGATGTTACAGGTGACTCAAAGAACTGTTCAATGGAGTGTGAGAACAGCACCAGTCAGGACAGTCAGTGGGACAAATCCTGGTGGGTAGGCAGGGATGGAATCCATAAAGCAGCTGCTGTCATGAAGCACTACAGAGGCAGTGAGGTTTTAGAAGAGCAGACAAATAAAGCAGCACAAAGCAGCCTAAGGAAAAGGATTCACAGAAAAGCCCTTACTGAGTGTGACTGTGTAGCTAAAGAGCTGTCAGGTTACAGATCAAGAGCAGGAGCTATGTGGCTCAGGACACAAAAATTTGATGACATTGATTGAATATGGGCAAAGTCTGAGGAGTTGTTTGGTTTGATTGGGCAATATTTAGGCAAACTGGAATGAGAAGAATTTTAAATCTTGGTTCCATTTCACTTGACTATTCAAAATCCCCCAAATTAGGATGTAGTTTGTGCTTCAGCAATATTGATATTGCCTTGGGTAAGAATGAAGTTGCTATGAAATACCAACATCACATATTGCTATTTAAATTCTTAGAAAATTAAGGAGCAGCAGCAATTTATTCCCAAAGCCTTGTATAACCTTTTGAGTTGCCAGCTGCTTCCTTACAGACCCCGAGGTCACAGCATGTAGGCATCACCCATTATGCTAAGTGATGTCCCTGGGCACTTCAAGCTTATTGTGGCTCAGCTTGATGATTCCAGACTCTTCTCCACAGCCTCTCCACTTCTAACCAGTCTTCAGGCTCTCAATATGTCTGAAGATGATGACTTACCCTGACAGTGATTTATCTGAGTTTCTCAAAGCATTAAAAGCTGTGGCCTAGTCTCCCATCCTGTATCACTGCAGACAGTAATTTGATGCTCTGCTGGATGATCAGCCTTTTGGGAATTTGCTGGCTAATGAAACTGCTATCAGTTCTATCAAATCTTTGTAGAGCTTCACCCAAGGGAAATCATATAATTCAGACACAGCACTAGCAATCAATTTCCCAGAAGGGTCCTTATAAAACTGTGAAACCTGGTATTTTTACATCTAAAATTTGCAGTTCTGCCGTAAGTCTGCAGGTTCCACTTACTGAGGATCAGAACAGGACCCATGAGGATCCATTTCTGAACTGCGTATCTGGAATATTAACAAAGCACAAAAGCCATGACAACACCCAGGGGTGGTTCCTCACCCACTGGCAATTAACAATCCAAGGGACCCTGGCCAGTTCTTCCAGGCCAACTCATGAAACTCCCTCAAGCTAAAAATCTCTAAAAGCTGTAGAGAGAAAACCATGAGCCACAATCCATTCTGACACAAGACTTGCAGCCAGACCTTCAGTGTGAGCAAGGATGGGCAGGGAGGGAGGAGCTCACAAGGAAAGGGCAGCTTGGACTTGGGTGGCAGCTTCACTGAAGGACAATCTTTGGCCCTTCCCAGGCAGCTGCATCGGGTCTGTGCCAAAGACTGGAGAAAGAGACAAAGTCAAATTTCAATTACTGTAGGCTCTAGTCCCAGCCTAAAAGGTCGATATATTTTTTTCTTAATAGTTTCAGTCATACCTTGTGAAAATCAAATTAATAATTCTGGTCACATCAAAACAGCTTTGTGAACTGCAAGGATAATTTTCATTTTCCATTGTGAAGACTTTTCAAAAGAAAAGGGGTAGTTTTGACATGAATCTTGCTCAGATATTCAGACAATAGAGATGGAATGCCTGTTTCAGCTGTATTGAAGCAAAATCTTTCAGCCAGGAAATGTGCATTGACTTTTTCTGTGGAACAAGAGATTACAACTTAAAGGCATGACATACCTTCAGCAGTGGGAAATGGTTTTAACTGCTCAGCTTTGCACAGAGCTACATGTTTAAGAGTGTGGCCAGACCTTGGTGCAGGACAGGAGCCAGGCACTGGCTCCAGGGCCGGCAGTGGGCAACAGGGCCCCTCCTACACAGCTGTACAACCTATGAGAACCCTCCCTTGTGGTTGTACAGCCCTTGGAATAAGGTATTGGACACTGGGCTGGTGCAAAAATGTGCATGTCTCCAGGAACATCTGTGCACAGGTTCATAGCAGCACAGTCTCGAACATCTGGGCCAGTGAGCAGAAAAATCAAACAGCAGCTCTTCCCAAGAAAAAGTATTTCTTTTGCACTGAGGAAATGAAGCAGAAAGTTAGTTTTCTGGGGTCACATGCCAGCTGTAACCTACTGAGTTGTATATTCACAGAGTATTGATGAAAGGAGGCTGAAGATTGTTTCAGCTCAATGCAGCACTAACAAGCTCTTCCGGCCCTGCTGGAGCTCTGCAGGGCTCACCAGCTGACCAGCACACCCATGCTGCTCTCACTCCTTGGGTTTTTTGATGTTTAACAGAGAGTCTGCAAATTGGACTAGTCACAATCCTCATGCTCAGCCTTGTACAAGAGGCTCAGTTTTGACAAGCCCATCCAAATCTGGCTGTACATCCCTCGCCCCACTGACTCCAAAGCACCAACAACCTGGAAGTTTTCAAAAGGACTGGCAGGAAACACCAAACACCTGGAGGGACTGATGCTACAAAAGCACCCACACCACTGGCCTCTCCCACATATCATGTTTTGCTTAAGACCCTCCTGCATTTGGCAGTGACATGGGGAACAGAACAGTCTCAGTGCCAACCCCATACCCTCACAGAGGCACAGGTGTGCCAGCACAGCCTCCAGCAACAGCAGTCCACAGGCAGACAGGGACACACTGTGCTCACTGCCATCCTCAGCTTTGCTTTGTGCTTGTTTGCTTCTCACAAAGCTGGTCAGCCTGAGCCAAAGAAGATGGCTGCTCTTCACTTGCCACTAAAAAGAAAAGCTTTCCTAGGAAGAAAAACACTCTAAATATGAAGAATAAGGATCCAGTAGGAAGGTCCTACAGGCAGGATTTTCTGTCAGCTCCTTACAGTGACAGACTGCAAAGCTTCCCATATTAACATACACAAAGTAAGACGTAATTTCTTTGTTATACTTGATGACACTGAATAAGAGAGTACTTCTCCCTCCTGTGCCTACCAGACATGCACAGCAGGCATTGAACTGTCTCTTACACAGCAAGTTCTTTGCCCACACCTTCTCCCAACAGCCTGAACTCCTCCTTTACTGTTCTGTCGTATCTCTTCAGGGACAGGTGACTGTTTCATCTCGCCCATCCTTCCCACAGTTAAAGAATTCAGAATGAAGCCTGTTTCCCAAGAACACCAAAGGACATTAAGTTTATAAAGCACCTGGTGAGCAACAGATTTACTTTCCCCAAAATAAGAGCAAATTAACAAACAAATTGATTTCCAAGACAGGCTGTCTTTGATTTTTAACACCATAAATGTTAATTTCAGCAACAGCTGTTTGATCAATCACATGCCCAGTCCTGCTCTTCTCACATCCCAGAACAGTCTGTGACTGCATTCATTGATTGTTTCCCAGATGAGTGCTGCAGCAGGTCTGGTACCTCGTGTATGCACAGTGCCTTATTTGTACATCCCAGATCCCAGACTCCACATACGAGTAAGCCAGATGTGGCTTTCTCTTCTGCTCAGATCCATCCTCTGATTTTACCTTGCACATCCCCTTGTTTTGGCAGCTGTTGTGCCCAAATTCCTCTCCCCATGCAGTCTATGAGCACATCACTCCAGACTTGCCATCACTCCCATAATTTGCTATACCAACAAAACTGCAAACAGGCTGCATGGCCAGTCTGGATCACCAAGCAATTTAGTTCAGAATTAGAGGCTGCACAACAGCTGAGAGCCCAGCAAATCCTTTCGCTGACAACTACAAGTGTCAGTTGCTTCATGGAGTGTCACAGGTTAATTCCATATTAACTTCTGTGTTTCCAGAAAAAAGTACAAAGACAGCACGTTATATTTCCATGTGCACAACCAAAAGGCTTTAGACTCACACATCTCCCATGTGCAGTCGAAGTGGGAGTCAGCAGGAGGATGGACCACACTGCCATGGCTGAGGGCATGGCTGTCTGCCCATCACTGAGTGGGGTGACAGTACAGGGATCCCTTCCCAGCCCTGCTGCTGCAATGTAACAAGCAACTCTGCTTTGCAGCCACCTGAGATAGCCTGGAAGGCTTCAAAGAGGTAAGTGATCATCTGGGTCAGCTTTTGAAAATGTCATCACAACTAACGGGGGTCTAGGAAGGACAATGTTAAAACTGCAGACAGAAAGCACTGCCTAAAGTGACAACAACAGGCAGTATTAACTGCTTATATTTATCCCATACAAAAGCTGCAACACCTGTTCTTCCATGGCAGTAAACCTGTTCTGAACTCTACTGGCAGTGTGGGTTAAAGTGGGGTGGGTTTATGGTGGAGGTTCACTGGACTAGCTCATTTGGTTAGAGCATGGTGCCAATAATGCCAGGGTTGAGGGGTCAATCCCTGTATGGGCCATTCACTTCAGAACCAGACTCTATGATTCTCGTAGGTCCCTTCCAACTCTGAATATTCTGTGATTCTGTGATCTCCTCCTCATATGCACACTGGCTGGCAGAGCTGACTTCTCCTTAGAAGTGGTTGTGAACTTGCTGATAAACTGTGCTTTGTCAGTTTGCTGCAATAGAAGATTCTAGAAGAATCATCTATTTCTGTTTTGTCTAAGGCTTTCCTGTGAGTTTTCTCATTTTGAGGAGGAGTTGGTGCTCACAGGACACACCCCTCACACCACAGGCTTCTCCAGAGCCTGCCCCCACTGTTCCTCACAACCCCTGCTGGAGAGGAGACCTCTGCCACTGATGCTCCACTTGGAGCATCAAAAAACATTACATTGGAGGAATTTTGGCAGCCTGCTGTTTATGGAATGTGTGAAATCCAGCTCCTAGCCATCTGCTGCCCTGCTTGGGGCCAGCACCCAAAGCTCAGTCTGGGCTGCACAGCTGCAGGAAGGGCAATTTCCCTGTTCTGCTGCCCTGAAGCAAGGGAATACATTTAAACTCACTCCTTTGTCTCAGTGCAGGCCCAAAACATTTTTTATATATTTTATATATATTTTTAACAAGTCAAGGGGGAAAAAAATAAAAGACTTCTTTCTTCATTCTTATAACTTCTAAAATTCTCTACAACTGATGGGTTTGGAAACTTCTGGTTTGCATTAGCAACTGAACCAAGCTTGAATCTTAGCTAAGATTATCCAAATTCAGAGTATTCAACAGTCCTGTAGCCCCTCACTAGGCTTAATGAAGTGTAATGAAAGAAAAATAATGAGCTTTGTCCTCATTGCCAAAGGAAAAGGCAGCTGGAAATATGCAGGGGCTTGATATGAATTGAACATGATTAAGTATGTGATAACCACTGTTCTGAAGAAAATGGTGCTGTTATACCTAAGGAGCCCACAGCAGTCCCTTGTAATTAGAGCTACTTAGCTGCTTTAATTGCCTCTGAAAGCCACCCACAACAGATTGCTTTTATGTTCTTTCCATTTTAAAACCAAGCACAGAAATATGGAAGCACTAACCTGCATCCACTTGGGCAATGGGGATTCAGGGGAGGGAGCTGGACAGGTATTTCATAGGGAAGGGCTCGGCACTTGACCACAGGGTGATGGGACTGTGGGATGTGTGGGCACACACAGGATGGTGTTATGGTGCTATGTGTGGGCACAGATGATGCTGGAAGGTGGCTACCACAGCCCACAGGTGAGCTACAGAACTCTGGTCCCACCACCCACTCTGAGTTTGGCCCCCAGCAAAGAGCAAAAGGATGTGTCACAGCAAGGCTGACAGTGAAGGCACAGCTCGTCATGGTCCTTCATGGCGTTCTCACAGTGGTGTGCAGTGCCCTGATTTTGTCTGCCCACTTACTCATCAAAACCAGCAATCCAACTCTAAATTAACAATTTTTTTCTGTATTCTTCATTGATTCACTAAACTGAAAAGATTATCTTCCTCTCCTTCAGATTAATTACATTAGTGGTTCACAGTGTCTTGGGAGACAATTCCCAACTCGGTTCTGGCAATGGAGCAAGACTGGAATCTGGTCTAAGCTATTCTGCTGGGAAAGACCAATTGGAGCTGTTCTGGAGAGAAGAAAATGTCCTCTCTCCTCCTTGGGGAAGGAGAGTATTCCAGAAGGACCTTCTTTAATCATTACTTGTCTTCAGTCAGTTTAAGGGGTCCTTGGATCTCTCCTGGATTTTCTTTACAGAGGGCTGAGAAGAATATATGAAGAGGTCAGAGCTCCAGCTTTCCCTCCTCAGCTTCTAGAAGTACAGTGCACAATTGAAATGATGCCCCAAAATCTTTGCTGTGGACAAGGATCCAGCCCCTGCTCCGAGCACACAGCCCAATGTTTGCACATGGCTTTCAGAGACCTGAATTCTTTTGAGACACGAGTTTGAATCCGTCATCCAGGATGGATCTCCGATTGCGTCGTAACCTCCTCTGCCTCTCAAGATGGATGACTGCTCCCAGGAGGACACCAGCAGCCAGGAGCAGCAGGACTCCTACAACAGCCAGAGAGATGACTGTGGCCTCTATCTGCTCTTGGGTCACCTTAGATCCAAAAAGCATCAGCTTCTGGGACTCATCCTCATCCTCAAGCTGCAACCCTGAGAGACAAACAGAAAGATATTTTCAACAACACCCAGCAATACCAGAATTGAAAGGTTGCAAGAAGTACAACGAAGGAGCTTTAAGAAAAACATGATGCAAAGTAGTGGAATCACCATCCCAGGCAATGTTCAAAAGATGTTCAGATATGGACCTTAGAGAAATGTTTCAGTAGTAGACATGACAGTGCTGAGTTAATGGTTGGACTCGATCTTAGAGGTCTTTTCCAATCTGAATGATTCAATGATTCAAAGGAGGTCCCAGTGCCATCCATGTGTCAGCCCCTCATCCCTGAGCACACACAGAAATTTGAGTTGGGTGGCTCCTTCCCTAACCTGCTCCACCCCAGAACCTGCCAGTGTCTCACACGTGTCCAGCCCAGTCAGCCACTGCTGTCCCCAGCTCAGAGAATATGTCCAGGCTGGGGCTGCTGCCAGTTCCCCCAGTCCATGCTCCCTGTGCCCATGGCTGCTGTCCTACACACCGAGTGCACTCACTCAGCCATGCCCATGGGATCATCAAGATCCTGAGCTTGCTTGTGCCTCCACACAGAGGCAGCAGCCACCTCCTGAGAAAAGGGGCTGTCTGCTAAAGTAAGGTTTCTGCCTGGTGAAAATACACAAGCTGGTATCTGCACATGGTATAAAACCAAATGATTTAATATCGTCACTACTACTCTCACTTATTTCCTACTCCTCCCCTGGTTTGTCCATTTTGAGTGAGGAAAATGTCGAGGAGAAAATGACTGAAATAACAGTGGAGAAAGCCTGCTGAGTTGTAGGTAGGTGGCTGCATTTGTAGGTGACCTGAACTGGCTTTCAAAACAGCTCAGCTGAATTTCCTCACAGCAGCTGAAAAATGGAGTTGAAAAAAGATGAAAAACCAGGAAAATAAACCACCGGTGTACATTACTCAGACCTCTACCACAGAAAATTTCAAAGGGATCATAACTACTACTCCCCTTCTCCCTGTGCTGCTCAACCAAGTGTCTTCTCACATCTGTTCTTTACAACACCCAAAAAATTCCAGACATGTGTTTGGGCTCTTTTCTCGGAGGAACATCAGAGCAGGAGGCAGATGTGCTTGTTTTCATGCTGACTCCATCCCTTCAGCTTGTAGAGATGATTGTGAAACTTCCCTAAACCACAGGGTCACTGACAGTCCAAAGAGGGAGGACAACCCATCCCAGGCACCCTCCTCCAAATCTCTGGCAGTACCTAAGCTCATACTCTGCATCTGAATCCATACATAGCAGGCACAACACGGTGTGAGGTTCCTAAGCTTTTCCACCTAACACAAGCAAACAAGCCTACCCAGCCCAACTTCCTTATTTCTATCACCAGAGGACAGACTGGTGCCCTCCCTGTCATCTACTGAAGCAAGGCCTCACACCAAGGCACTGCCAGGCTGGCAGAGTCGAGGCTGTTTGTGCTGTGTGTTCCTCCCTTCCCTTACAAAGATCCAAACCTCTGTGTTGCTCAGGGATGTGCCCGTTCCCCTTCCCACAGACAGGGTCTGGCAGTACTGTACACACCATACCTTGGATGGCAGTCAAGTCTTCCAGCTCTGACTCTGAAAGGAAACAAAGGGAGAGTGAGAAGGTGTTGGGCTGAGCAGGCAAAGCCCCAGTTCCAGTGCACAACCCTTTCCAGCCTTCAAAAGGAAAGTGCTGAGGGAGAAACAGAGATGGCTCTGACACTGGGCAGGCACTGGTCACCCACAGCTGAAACACTGGGGCATTCACTGTTTTGGTAATACATCTAAAACCACATCACCATGAGGGCTCCATTGCAGCCAAACCCAGTCCTGAGAGTCACTCACCTCTGAGCACCTTCTAGTTCTCAGTAAGAGCAATTACTGACTGAGAGCTGAACATGGCAATTCAGACACAAGCTAGAAATCAAACTCAGAATAACAACACTGGTCATGTAAACTCCAGAAAACAATTCATTTTTAGCTCCAGCTTCAGGTATTACCATATTTAAATGGAACATCATAATTTAATACCACTTAAGTAATTATCTGCTCCCTTAACTGGCTTTTTGTAGTACATAAGAGAGTTGAGATACAAACACTCAGAATTTCACAGCAGTAGCAGGAAGTGCTGCTAGATGTTGACAGTGACAGCTCCCTACCTCCTCTGGGCAGAACAGTGAAGAGGATCTCCATGCCAGCATGGATATGGTCAGACACGTGACAGTGAAGCAGCCATGTCCCAGGGTTCCCAACCAGCATCTCCACCATTTCAAAGGTCCCAGGGAACAGATCCACAACATCTGCTCTGTAGCTTTTGCCATTCTGTCAGAGAAAGGAGGCCATTAGCTGAAGTGCTCAATGCATCTTCTCAGGAAGAAAATTCTGCCAGTGTTGCTGGGGACCACTTCAACTTTTTAATGCTCAAAAGCTTTCAAAAAGCAGCTCCAGGGCTGCAGCTTGGAAAGCAAACAAGCAATTTGGTAATAATGCATAACCCTAACAAGGATTAAGCTGGACATCTCAGCACAACACAGGCTCAGGGAGTCAGACTGGGATGTGTAAAACCACATCCTTTTCCTAGCTGGGTGAAGCTTCTATGGAGTCATTAAAAAACATTGGAATACAGAGTCAAGTAAAAGTGCTGATATCAGTGGTCAGTATCTGCTTTACCATCAGCAGATGTTCTCACCTTGTATATGAAGGTCTCAGCATGAAAATGAACTGTGTGGACATCAACTTCATGACCCATTCCCAGCAGGTACCAGTTCACCCTCTCTCCCTGGTACATGGTCAGCCCAGGTAAGGTGGCATAGAGCCTGCCATTGATTGCTGTGCAGGGAATAACACAGAGGGGGAAAAGGCTGTCAGTGAAATCGAATGGGTGCTGCACCTCCTCAGAGGAAGGCAGCAAATTAGAGGCTAGAAAGTTCATACAGCACCCAATGTATCAGCAGTTAGTGTCCCCCACAGGACAGTCCCCTCAGCTCAGCTACTTATCCATTTGCTCACAGCCAGGACAAGTGATTTACACTCAAGACCATGCTGTTGCTCAGCTCAAATAAATCTCAAAAATTACCTATGCTGAAAACCTGCAGTCAGGCAGCAGAAGTGGTTACTTCTAGAAGTCAAAATGAATAAAAATGGCATTTTCAGCCCAATGATGTAGAAACATGTGTATACCTACATACACATAAATGTCTGAGAAATGTCCTTGATGAACACTGAAAAGGGTAAATCCTGCCAGTGGGCAGCCCTGTGCTGCTGAGCCTCAGACTGGCCACATACATCACATTCTAACCACTTGTAAAATCCCTGCATGACAGGACTTCACCTCTCAAGTAGCACAGCTGGAAGGAATCCTCCTGTGACTGCACATGCAGGAAAGGGATCAAAACAGGAGTGAGCTGACTGCTATGGCACACACATGGAGACTTTCGTGCTCAGATGGCAACAGAGGGAATAGGATGGATAGAGGCAGGATCTGAGGGCAGAGCACCAGGTTTTTACTCCAGGTCTGCCCTGGGCACTTTGTAAAGCCTAAAACAAGTATCCAACTTCAGCATGCTGGTTTCTGCTAGCTGTAATACTGGGTTGACAATTACAGGTTAACCTTCATGGACTTGTATTTGGAGAGTCTTTATCTCACCCATACAAAACCAGCAGTAATGACAGTACACAAATTGCAACTCATTATTCTTATCTCCACAACTGTCAAGGGACCTGTTTTGCTGAGGGTATCTTAGATATAATATGGAGAGAAACTAATATAAATAATACGTTAATTTAAACAAATGTGTTCATCCTTCTATGGCAAAAATAGCCTAAAACAACTGAGCCACATCTTGCAGCCATATAGCTCAGAAACTTAATTTGAAGTCTAACATACTCTGATGGTCCCCGAGACAAACAATTAAATTTGTCTGACAAGTTAATTTTATGTTTGATTTCATTTCCGCTTCTGAGTCACTCAGACACATCAGAGATTAGCCTCTCTGGCCTGGATGTTGCTATTCCTCCTTACAGGAAAAGCCACAATGATCAGCCTTCACTGCAGATCAAGGATTTGGGCTGTAGGTGTGCTGCAATATTGAGAACAGACAGTTTAATTTTGTTTGTGCCACTGATAATGGAAAAGGATGAGGACATTCACCACAAGCCAGGCTCCCTACTTAGAGAGGCTGCAGAATCAACACCAACATTACCGTGCATTTTGTTGCTTTCCACAAATTGCTCATCCAGCAGGTTGATCTCCGTGTGATTTCCCTTACTGAAACGTTCCACATTCTCCTCCAAGTACCAGGACTGATTTTCATCAAAAACCAGGAAAAGCAGAGCAAACTCCCTCTTCACATCCTTCCTGGTCCCACTGGACCGCAGGGCCCCTCTCCGGCACACCTTCAGGGGCCCGACCAGCCCACTGTACATATCCTAAGCAGAAGGAAGGAGAGCTCTCAGGCAAGGACCCTCTCACCCTCTTTTATGACAGTTCTCTGCCTTTCAGCAATCATTTCCTATTCCCACATCACCCCACTTAAAACAACCAGTGCCGCTGTACAAGTATTCTTGTTGGAGAACATCAGCCACTGAAGCACAGGAACAGAAACTGTACGTGCTCTTATAAATGCAAATCCGAGTCATAAATATGGATGGGATCAAAGTATTTTCCATTCAGTGACTGCAAAAACATCTGCAACTTGAGATAAAAAGGCTATTATTTCTGGGTTGAATGTGATGGTTTATTACAGGTTCCTCCAGGTTGTTGCCCTGTGAAATCAATGCTATGACACTTCTAGAAATGATCAAATCTGCTTGCTTTATTCATAAGGTTTATTTTGGACAATTTCTGCCTTTTGTAGACTAGCCCTATGGCTCCCACCAGTAGAAACCATGACCAGCTGGGAGACTGCCTACAAATAACTGGAGAAAGGTTAGTAGCAAGGAGAGATGGTGGAATTGTTTTATGAAGGTTTGTTAGGAAAAAAATAAGGACAGACATCAGGACAAATTCAGATTATTTCCTCTCCAAGGAGTAGACATGTTACCAGGTGATTCTTCCACCTCATGGCTGGGCCAATCTCTAAACTGTACCCAACTCACATTGTTTTCTAAATGGGGTAAAAAATTGGTCTAATTAGGCTTTTCTTGCTATAACTTTTATTTTACCTTTACTGGGTCCACTGCAGAGTAGTAGATCCAAGGAACACAGGCTGAATCATTTGGACCTGGACCAGATCTCTCAGGAACTTCCCACCGGTATGTCACAATGTCACCTGAGGGACAAACAGCACCATACACCAGGTGACACCCACTCACTAAGCAGCAAAACCAAAAGGAAAAAGAAAATCCTGTCTCCAAAGCCCAATTTCAATTCTGTATTGGCCAGATATTGCACTTGCCTTTCCCAAACACAAAGCAGGGTGGAAGCTCCTGTCTCAGAGCGAGTCAGAGGGTTCACAGGATGTACACACTGTCTGGTACAAGCACAATGCAGGTTTATCTGCTGCTTTCAAGACTGGACCTGACCATGGAAATGACCATGGAACAGCCATGGAAGCTCATTCAGATGGAGCTTAAGACTTTATTTTCTTTAAAGTGAATTTATGATGCTGATTCAAATTGGGGTTTAAAATCACTCCTTTTTTCATATTAGCAGCCCATTTCACAAAGACAGGATCTGGCTGACAGCCTGACTGTGGCTTCGACAGTCTGGGCAAGTTGGAGGAGACCAAAAATTAAATACATAGGCATCTGGATCACAAGACAAAGTGGCCATTTCAACCAGATCCCAGCAAGTAATTGTGCATTTCTCCTATTTCATACTATTTTCATACTATTGTGCTCATGCAGCCCAAAGAGGAGGCTCCTCCATCCCAGGACCAGCTGAGCTGTCACCTGCCATCACCTTCCACTTCCCACAGAGAGACCACACTCAGTGTGGGGAGGGATAAGGCTGCACACAGAAGAATGTCCTACACATGTCCCAGACAGCTGCCATCCCCACACAAATGGTATCACTAAAACTGTGCTGGACCTGAAAGACCAGTTACTGTCCAGTTCCAGCACTCTACTGTAACAAAACCAGGGCATCTGATGCTGCTTAAGGAAACCAGTCTGGCTCTGGGATAAAGTCAGCTGTGTGAGCCCACACAGGAGTGCAACCAGAGACAGGGACCTACCAGGGTTTGCCACTTGGGGATGTCCAGCCTGCTGCTCCAGCACCCCGTGTGCATGGACAGAGTAGGGTCGCGAGGCGTTGTTCTTGAACACGATGTTGAGAATATCGCCCACTTCCGCCCACAGAAAAGGGCCTTGAGACAGGAAGAGTGTACTCTGAGACCAGCAAAATCCATCAGCACATCTCCTGGGATATTCTCACCCCTCTCTCAACATCTTCTCCCCAAAAAATATTACCTTATAATATTTATGATGCTCCCCTTCCTCTTCTCTACCTCCCAAAAAGAGAACTGGATGCCAGTCCAGTTCAAGTATTAGGAAACTGGACTGATTTTCACAACGAGGAGAATGAAGGTGATTTCACATCTTAACTGGGCCCAGCACAGCTAAGGCTTGATTTCTGAATACTATTATGCTAAATGTCACATGTTGATCACCCTTTGCTATTGGTTTCAAAAAATGTGGTAATACTCAGCTGAGCCCGACTGTCACAAATCAGAGCTGCAGCCTATTTTGAGTGGCAGATGCTGCCTCAGCCTGGCTGCCCTGACACCACTCACAGCCTTGGGTTCATAACACAGATTTCTGTCTCCACAGACCTCCACTAGTCAGTACAAAATACTCCTCCACTTCCCAAGACTGCCTGCTTTTGCCCCAGAAGCATTTCTCACAGCTACAGATTTTCCCCTCTATTTCTCAGACCCCTCTCCAGAAGTCAGTGGTTGTTTCAGTGCCACAATCAGAGAAACGCAGCTGTGAAACATGCTGTGCCCAGCCTATGACAGAACACTGGTGCAAAGGCAAGTGGAAAAGCTCAGGCTTTCCTACAAGCTGTGCACAGGAGTCTTCTAACTGCTGTCTCCAAGGTGGCAAATGTGAGTAGGACACATTGCACTTACACAGCAGATGCCTAAATATCCAGTGAGCCTTCAGATTACAGCTGTGAGCCACTGCAGCTTTAGAGCCCCAGTCCCATTGCTGTGTGAGAGGAAGGTGAACCCTCTGCACACATCCTTACCCAGTATCCCTAGGTGTTCATCACGACTTATCCTGGCCTTGGGGGTTTGGAAAGTGCCATCTGTGTACTCCCTGTAAACTGCTTTCTTGTACCTGGAGCCGAGCAGTCCATTCTCGTTGTTCAGAAACACATCAGCATAGCTGAGAAATGCAGAACGAGTGCTGAGATAACCAAAACCTCAAGGAGAACAAACAACTAACGTCTGTCAGGGGGTTCACAAGCTGAAGGGGCTCCTAGAGCCAACCTGGGCTGCAAAGGAGAGCACGATGATGTGGAGGGCTGTGCTCCCATCAGCAGCACCAGGTCATAGGGTGGCCAAGACACCCACCACGCTCTACCAGGGTGTGCTGGGACACTGCCAGGCTTCCCCAGAAGGGGGGCTCTACCTCTGTGCAGAGTGGTTGTGCCGTTCTCTCTCCCAGCTGCGGTCCGGGGCGTAGTCCCACACCACCTCCTCGGCCGCGATGTAGAACGTCCGCACTCCCCTGTAGTGACGGGCAGAGGCACTGCCCGCCTTTCCACACCTGGAAACGTTGTACTGCTGCCTCATCCCAGACTGGTAGTGATTGCTCGTCTGGCAGTAGATCTCAAAAGTCCCTGAGGGAGGCAGGATGAACAAGGAAATCAGTGGCTTTTGAAGACTCCAGGAAACAGCTGCTTCCCCGACTGGTGTCACTACGTGCTTGGTGTACCTCTGTGGTGCTTAGGGGGCTTGGTTGCCACAGGCCAAAGTTAAAAGCAGTCATTGGAGAAATCAAGCAGGAATGGCACAACAAAGTCCTACATCTAAATCACCTCAGGAAGCTTTCTTACACAATAAGCACCTGTGACACAGCTCACCCTGTAAGAGTTCATATCATGCTAGAGAATCTGCCACATGGGAGACTCTTCCCTCTGCCCAGTCAGCTGTGCAGGCACTCACCACTGTGATCAGGCTGCATGAAAGCAGTGGCAAATGTGTGAGGGAACAGATTGGCTGAATCTCTCCTCATCCCGTTCATCTCTATGGTGTTTCCCTGAAACACAGCTCCGTGCACATCCGCTTCGCTGCCCAAGCCCAGGAGGTGCCAGGACACGTTGTCTCCTTCACACACGTCCAACCCAGGCAAGTTACCAAACATAAATCCATTGATGGCTGGAAAGGAGAAAGCAATTAACTCTCTGCAGGCAGGTGTCAGCCAGGAGATTTTGAGCATAGACCTCGTAGGACAGGCCTGCCAGTCAGAAGGGTAACTTGTTTGTAATTCACCCCTGAATACACTGAGAGCACACTTCTCCAGACAGCTGTGCTGCTTGTCCATGTCTCACCTGGTGCCTCCAGCCTGGCTTGATTCCAGGCCAACACCACACAGCCCTTCCAGCCCCCAGCTCAGCCTTTAGGAGAACACCAGCCCGTGCTCTGCAGGTTCATCCCCACTGTCATAGAGCAGCATCCAATCATACCATGCATCCTGTTGGACTCCTCGAAGCCATCATCCTTTTCCACAGATGTCTCTTCCATCCTCAAGTAGTACTTTATGTTGGCATTTAAATACCAGCTGAGGTTCTCATCAAACACGTTGAAGAGAAGATAAAATTCTTTGTTGATCCCTTTCTATAATTACAATGATGGCTGTTAGCTTTTAAAACACAACAATTAACTATCCTTAGAGTTAAAGCTGTTTTGCTTGGCTCTTGTATTCCCCTTTATTTTAAAACATGGCTCATTGAGAGACAGGACTCCATCCCTTTACTCATGTTGAACATTCCTCTTTTATTTCACAAAACGCACCACTAAGCCTGGACTGGAGATTTTATAATTAACCTAAATCCTTGACAGTGTTAATTCTCCTAAGAAATGCACTCCAAAGCATGGTGTTTCCCCACTAAAAGAACATTGTGATGGTGTCCAGACTCTCCCACTGGTGTCACTGTCCCCAGCAGCACACAGGCAGCCAGCATGCTGAGGTGGTGAGCAATTCCCAGGCTGCAGCACAGGTACAGCAGTGGCTATGCACCTTCCACAATTAAGCATTCATTAAAGGTTTACCTAAGACTGTGGCACTGGAATTTCCACCCCAGGTGATTTTTCCCTGTCTTACATTTACAAAGGTCTGTCTCTTTTGCTTACACCCTTCCAATACCTGCCCATGTTTATCATTATCACAGCTCCTTCACCTCGAGGACTGTATGTATTCCCAATTTGCTCAGCAGAGCCAAATTTTCACCCTGGGTAGCATGTTGATATCTTCTGCACTCGTAATTTAGTCACAGGGTGCCCCCACTGAATGTGAGCTCCCCCAGGAAGGCTCTGAGAACAGCAATCCCCAGATCTGTCACTGCTCCCCAAGCCATGCTGCAGGATGGCAGTGGGGGTTTGATTTGCCCTCTGCTGTCTTTCACAACAAGGCTCTGCTCCTCTGCCTGGTACCACCCCATGGATTTCAATTTACAGTTTTCCCTACATTTACTGCCAGGAATAGACTACTCCTGAATGAAATTCCAAGAGGAAGTTCTGGCTGCCCTTCTGGTTTCACCTCTCCATCAAAAGCACAAGACTGACATGGATTTTCACATGCTTTTTTTTTTTGTAGCCAGCTCTGCTTGAAAATTAACTCCTCTGGCAGAATAAATGAGGCTCACCAAAACCTCAAAGCATTGTTATCACCCAAGCAGAACATCTGTAAGCAAAAATGTCTTTTCAGTGTTTCTGGGACTGCAAGGACTATTCCACATGCCTCTCTGAAAGCAGCCTGCTACACAAGCCTCAGAACAAGAGTTACCAATAACTCTTCCAAGGTACAGTTGTTCAGCAAAGTTTGTTTGTGAATTAAAAGCAGAGCTCAGGAATATTTTGAGGGCAGCTCTAGAGAGCCCAGAACACTACTGGCCTTTCCTAGGGGAGACCTGGGCACCAGCTGTACCAGCATTAACTTGGCCAACAAGGCTTTGATTTGACTCTCCCAGACTTAAACTACCGCATGTTTGTTTTTAATATGCTCCCTAATGTTTTGTTGATGCTTCTTTTCTCTACATGAAAGCAAAAACCTGGTAGGAACAGGGCAGGAAAACCCCTTTACCTGCTTGTTGTTTTCATCCAAAGTGCCTGACTTGCAGATGAGCAGAGGCCCCACTAAGCCTGAGCTGGAGTCTTTGACAGGATTCACAGCTGAGCTGTACATCCAGGTGAGGCAGGGAGGGTCACTGGACGTGGGCCCCACGTGGCTTGGCACAGTCCAGCGGTACGTGAAGTTGTGCAGTGGTGCCACAGAAACCCCACTCTGGGACAAGCCTTTAAAACAGGGATTACAGGGTTATTCCCAAGTCCCTGCACAAACTCAGTTACACCCTCTCACCAGCTACTTTCAGAGCAGGCTTTACTTCATTCGTGTCAACCAAACACTCAGCACCTCTGAAGGGTGATGGGGGTGTACTCAAAAAAAGGGATCCACCAACCATCATGGTACCACATCCCTTCTGATTCCTTCCCATAGGACACTCCATGTGGCTGGATGCTGAAGGGCCAGGAGGCTTTGTTAAAAAATGTCACCAGGATGGTGTCTCCAACTTCAGCTTTGATCACTGGACCTAGAATATAGCAGAGAGGGCATATCAGCAACAGAGCATTTACCCAGGCAAACCAAAGCAGACAGGGCACCTTCCTCCAAGCTGCAGGGCCAAAGATGAGAGGCAGCAGATGGCCTGGCCTTGTTGCTGCTGAAGGGAGCTCAGTGGGACCAGGGGCTGGCAAGGATTGCCTGAAAGCAGTTTGAGTCTACAGGAGAACTCAGAGAGGCATCACACCTTCACACAGGGAAATAACAGAACAGCCAGCTGTGCTGGGATGCCCTCAGGATAGGCCCATGTCTCTCTCCCACTTACGCTAGGCCTCCTCAGCCACCCAAACACATGGCCTCAGAGGTGTGAGATGCTCTCCAAGCCCACCAGAGTCTGTAAGCCCATGACCCACCAGCCAGAGAGGAGCTATGAGCCCTTACCATGCCTGTCCCCAAGCACTCATTCAGGAGACAAAGCTCTCTGTGAGAACATGGCGCTTGCAGCATGCCTTGAAGAGGCTCAGTCAAAAACACATAACCAGGAGCTATTGCTGTGACCTGTTTAGCTCTATTCACACATGCTATGTGTGCCCCTCAGCTCTTACCTCTAGAACACCTTTAGAATAACCCCTGAAGTGATTCTGTCCATTCTATCACCCTGCACCTTGGCCTGTTCCCTTTGCTCTCAGATGTGACTTGTGAAGCATCTCTTGTGCCCCTCCCTGCCCCTCAAAATGAGCAGGCAGATACAGCCACCTGGGACTCCCAGCATCAGCATCCTTCTCACAGACACTGACAGAGGATTTGTGCTCCTGGATAAAATTCTCACCAAGTATTCCAAGGTGTTTCTCTTCTGCTGATTGCTGCTTTTCCTCACGGAAACTCCCATCAGTATATTCCACATACTTTGCCTTCCAATAGACACCTCCAATTCGGTAGAGGCTACGCTTGAAATACTGCTCAGCAGGACTAAATGCAAAAAGCAAATATCAGGTCATGTCATAGAAGAATCAGCCCTGTTCCCCTTCTCCCGCTGGCAAGGCCATCAGTATCTCCAAATCAAACAGTATTTCAGACAAGGACAGCACCTCTAGTTTGGAACAAGCACAGCTTTGACTCTGCAAAGCTTTTTTGCCCTTACAGACTCATCCACCTGTGTGTTCAGGGAGCATCTGCAGCACACAGCCCTGTCCCAGGTGAACCTGCCAGGTGTGATGAGCATCACTGCACAAGAGGTGTGAAGGAATGAACAAAACTGCAGTGCAGTCAGTGGAAAGGCAGTGCTAAAACTCCAACCTCTTCAGAAACTGGAGGCAGCCCCAGTCACAACTAAAATAAACAGCTGTAAAGGTATTTATTTCCTCCACTACCACCCTCACCAAATATAAGTAACAAGCCTTGCAGGAGAGGCAGTGCAGTTACAAGGCCAGCTCACAGGTCTAAGGTCTGCGAGGCTTGCTGCATGGCACTGAGTTAATCATTAACCACTCTACATTTCCTCTTCTCCATCTGAATAAGGTATATCCTCTCTAACACATTACTAGGGAAGGGAAGTAATCTCTGTGGAAGGAGAATAATCTCTTTCAGTTAGCCAAAGACTGAATGGGAAGTCTCTCAATTATGCCAGTCACCTGACCATGGGATGGAGGGAGGGCTGCCATCCAAGTCTTTGCATCTGATTTCCTAGAAATTGCTTCCTGCAGCAACACCAGCCTGAGGCCCATCTGCAGGCCCACTCTGCCACCCTGTGTCTGCTGCACCAGGGGATTTTTGAATCATTTCTCAAATAGATCAATCTGTTCCTAGGTTAGTCACAGCAAGCAGAAATGAAGCCCAGAGACAAATGTGGCAGCTCATAATGTACATCTGCTGGGACTTCTGCTGCTTGTGGGCACAGCTGTGCCACATATCACTCTTATGAGAAAGTCCCAGGTACCTGTACTGCTCTCAGTGCAGTCCAGCTACAGCAGCCTCCCTTGTAGACGGGGTGATCAGCCTTCCCAGGAAATGTACCCCATGTGAGCAGCAGGGAGGTATTTTGAAAAAAAGGAAATTCCATGTTTTCGTGAGCAGCCTTCTTGATACAGGCCAGATTCCCCAAAAACTGCCAAGCCCAGCAGCCTCTCACTCACCTGCCTGTGTCACTGAGCTGCTTCCCAGTGAGCTGGTCACGTGCTGAGGGTGCATAGTCCCACTGCACATCCTTGGCAGCTATGAAGTATTTCCGAACTCTCCCTTCCAGGCTGGGTGCTGCAGCTTGCCGAGAGCAGGGCCGGACTTCATAGAGTGCCCCCATCCCAGCTGGCCAAGACATGAAGGTGGACACTCACTTAGCCCCTCCAGCCAGCCCAATGGGCAGTCCCACCTTCCCTCTGCTGTCCCAAAAGCTACAGGGATGGGAGAAGGCAAGTGACTCCACAGCAAGGAGTTTTGTGTCACTGAGCAGAACTTCCAACCTTAGGTACTGGATGCTGTGGAAGTATGGACAGAGTGACCAGAGTCTTGTGCTCTGCTCCTCAAATCCATCATGAAAGAGTCTCTTATAGGGGCCTGAGCTCTTAAGGCACTGACTCATCTCAGTTTTCAGCTGTACCAAACATCAAACATCACACCATGGTATAAGTCAGCCCCACTTGACAAAGCTGCCCTGCACATTACTAACCAGCCCACTCCTATTTTTACAAGACAAGGCATCACCCACTCATCTGGGGACATTCCCCATGCCCAAGGCACTGTTCCCTACCACACTGTACATCATGTACATCAGAAACAGAGGACACAGAGTCCAGGACCTATTCCACCCTCTGCCTTACCTTGTATGTGATCATTGACCTGGCAACTCAGCAGCCATCGCCCAGGGTTTCTGGGGGTCATATCTGCTGTAACAAAAGTGGCTGGGAAGAGGCTGGCCACATCTGTCCTGTGGCCACGGATTTTGAGTGTCTCTCCATGGAAGTAGGCTGTGTGAACATCAATTTCATTGCCCATCCCGAAGAGGTACCATGCAACAGAATCCCCAGCACACATCTTCAGCTCAGGGAGGTTGCCAAACACATAACCATTAATAGCTGCAAAACCAAGCAAGCCAAAATTAGAGAGCAGAAAAGGGGCCATCAGGTGACAGCACAGACACATAGAAGTATGGACCTAACCAGAACTCCTCCTCTTCTGCTTTGGAGAGCCCAGCTCCACAGCTCATTACTATAATAAAGGGTATAAAAGCTCACTCGAGCCAAAGATAAAACCAAAACAATACTTCCATTTTCTGGAGTCATTGCCCTGTCCCTGAGATAGTGTTTGCTAAGCACATGATCTCGGAGCAGATCCTGGAGCACTGACACTCCCGAGTATCTCAGCAGACACAGTGGCCTCACAGAGGTGACACTGACCATGCATTTTGTTGCTCTCCTGAAATTCCTCATCTTCTTTGTCTACAGAGCCAGGATCTGTGCAGAATGATGCAATGTTGTCATCCAGATACCAGCTTAGGTTTTCATCCACCACACTGAACATCAGAAAGAAATCAACATCCACATCCCAGCGTCTTTGAGAGCTGCCAGTCAGTGTTCCTGAGAGGAGAGAGGAACGAATGCAGAAAATCACTCACGCAGAAAATCATACATCAGGCAAGAGATCAGAACAGCAGTAGCAGAGTAAGTCTTGTCACATGAGTTGGAGACAGATGCTTTCCCACCATCCTCACAGCTCACCACAGACAGAGCAGTGAGCTCACCCTTTTCCAAAATACCCCTGCCCATACAGTTCTCTCTCCCAAGCAGCTCTGCCACTGCAGGCCTCAACTACAACACCTTCAGTCTTCTCACTCCTGCTGAAACCAAGTGCCATGCTTTTCATACACAAACTAGATCCTGGACAAGAGTATTGCTGTTAACATGGATTCAAGCAGCTCTCTTGGATCAAGAGGCCTGCAAGCTCACCTGCCCAACCACTAAGAGATAATGGCAATGCAATGACAAGAATCCAGCTAGAACGCAGGTACTGTCCTCTCTAACCAAGCTGCATTTCTCCCTGAATCTGGGAGCTGCACACCAGAGGATCTTCTTATCCTTATTCATGTCAACACAAGACCTTCACATTATGGAATGGCAGGCCTCAGCTGCTTTCTCTTGGTGTTTTTACCCGTTTTACATGTGAGTAAAGGCCCAATTAATCCAGATGCAATGTCCCTTGGTGCATCAATATGAGAGTGGTAGATCCAGGTCAAGCAGTTTGGGTCATCATCAGTTGGACTGTGATCTTCAGGGACAGTCCAAGTATAGGTGTAATTCTTTCCTGGGAAAACAGCATCATCCTTCTTCTGATCCTGGGGGGACATATCAGGATACAGGGATCCTAGAACAATTGAGCAATCACAACATCCATTCAAGTAGAGCCAAGATGCCCACACATGTAACCTTATCCTGAGCTGAGACTCGCCATCCCAAGGCTGAAATATTGTTTAATCATCACTTCCTCAAAGAGGCACCGAGGCACAGAGCCACTGTAAGGCAACTTGCCCAGTAAACAGGTCAGCACAGAGTCAGCAGGATTATTTCCATTCTGCTTAGTGCTGCTTTGCCTTCAATTCTGCACTGTGCCTCATAGTCAATCTCTCTACGATCTCTAGAGTTGATCAGTATTTTGGAGGTTCTAAAGTCAAGAAATCCAGGCCCAGGTCAGGACTCCAGCCCCATGACCCTGCTAACCCAACACCTGGTGCCTTCACCAAACATCCAAATGCAGTTGTTTTCCAGCTGGGGCTTTATGGACAGTTTTCCCCCATGCATACTCCTAAGTTCCCAGTGAGAAAAATCTGTCTCCATGATGGCAGTAGCTCATTTACCTTCAGAGTCCTTTTCGTAGAAAACACCATGAGGATGGATTGTATATGGTCGAGTAGCAAAATTTTTTAGGTGTACTTGAATGGTATCCCCCACTTCTGCTCGGATGATAGGCCCAAGGAACCCCAGCCAGACAGGTTTGGGGATCTCAGTGGTGTACGTGGAGTCCGTGTATTGTTTATAGACAGATTTCTTGTATGTGCTTCCCACTCTGTCTTTCCCAGACTGCAGGAATGCTGAGGCCTGGCTGTTGAATTCAAAGGGAAAGGCACTGTGAGTCATCATTATACACAACAGCTGGTCAATACTGCAGCAGAGTGATGGTGACACTCCACTTTCCGGGGTACAAACAAAAGCTTTAGCATTAGAGGACCCCTGGGATGCTCTAAGCCACCCATGCACGGCCACAACCTCAACCCCAGCTCTTCACCAACAGACAAAGTGCACCCTGAACTGTGCCCTACAAACAAGAACTGGGAAGGTCAGTGCTTCCCAGACAATCCCATGTAGGTGTCACAGGGAGAACCCTTCTCATGCCTCCTTCAGCCTTCACTGGATTCTTCAAAACTCTTTGATTCCTTTGTAGCATTTCCAGCTAAATCACAAGGCAAGTAGAGTGGAATCCTGAGCTCTCTGGCCAAAATTTGAAGTCTGAAAGATGATTCTCTACTCAACAGTTTCCAAACTCCTTCCAGAGTGGCAGATAAGACAGGCAAGTACATACCCAGCACGTAACCAGCTTCCAGAGTTAAAACCTCATAGTGGTACTAAAGTTTAACTCACAAGCATATTTGCTCTTTATGGGTAATTCTTAATAGATAAGAGATGAATCACAGTCCAGGTATTAATGGAACCAGGCTAAACGAGAGCCAAGGTCGCTCCCCTCACTTCCCCCTTTGGATTGATCACCCACAGCAGAGCAGCCCTGGCAGGGAGGTAACTCTAATGCACATCTCAGAGAATGAACAGTGGAGACTCAAATATGGAGCATTGGCCTCATCATTCAAAAACAGGCAGGGCTTGGCTCTACAAGCTCTACAATGCAGAGTTCAGCCCTTTTCCAAGTCATCCCTGCAGCCATTATCAGCAAAGAGTTTTAGATAATTCACACTTCATTTTACAGATGTGCTTCTTATTCCCCACACAGTCCATTTCTTCCCAACAAAAAGTGTCCTTGAAATAACATGCTACGTCTATCAATCATATCAACATCTCATCCCTTTCTAATTGCCAGCAGTTTCATTTTTACAATCATTGTACAAATAGACCCCATTAAGTAATTGTTTGCAGTGACAACAGTTTTTAAATTGCTTTTAAGTTCAGTGGCCCTGAATTTTATTTCCTTCTCTTCATATATTATGAAAGAAACCAAGCAAAATCCACTGCATTCATTATTGCTTCAGGAGTCAGCAGTAACATCTTTATTAACCCTGAATTTTGGGGTGTTTCCTGTGAACTTATTTATATCTACACAGCATCTCCAGAGAACAGAGACTTTTCCATGCTAAACTGACAGATCTTGATGTCTCTGCACACCCTTCCTGCTCCTGCTGTGCTGTTTCTGAAGGTGTCTGAATCTGAGTGCTAGTTATTATGGAGGGGTAAAGAACTGAGAGCAGGTCAAAAAATACCAGCCATCTTCCACAGAAAATGAGGGCAAGGAAATAAAGCACAAATGCCTTTAAAATTTTATGGAAATCTTTAAAAAAAAACCCAAACCACACACAAAAAAATCGACCAAAGAAAAAGGCATGATGTTTTAAAAGCTAAACCCAAAACACTGTTTGTGTAGTAACTCAAACCAATTATTGCAGTTTCCAGAATTAGTTTTGCAAGAAAAACAAAAATGTTTTTCAAACAGCCACCAAAATCCCATGCAGGAAGTCCCATTAAGTCTAAGGCTTGAAATTCCACTGAAACAAAAACAAGCTGGCTCTGTGAAGTCATTTATACAAAGATGAAAAATCATCATGCTTCAGGATAAACAAGCCGATCACCAGCTGGAACTAAGCAAAATGAAACTCCAGGGTAGAGCATTGCAAAATCTAGGCTATTTTAGAACAATGTGTCCTGTATCTGCTCTATTTTCTGTTCCCTGTTTGTTTTCCATACACTTCTCTAGTGTATGGGCTCTGGACTCTCCAGACCATCCCTTTTCCCACTGACACAGGTTTTACCACAGGAGCATAAAACAAGTTAAACATTAAGCTCATAAAGATCAGAATCTACAAGAGTGTGTCTTTTGCTTGCTCAGATGCCCCAGAATACTTGCATTAAATCACACATCAAATGACAGCTTAAAGCCAGCCCCAGACTAAATTCTGCTAGAAGTGAACGTACTGGTTACTTGCAATAGCCTGGTTGGCAAACACATTCTTCCCTGTTGGAGCATAGTTCCAGTCCACCTCATGGATCCCCAGGTAATAGACTCGGGTGACACCACCAGCAAACGTGGGTGACAGCATGGAAATGCAGAGTAGCAACCACCAGACTGATCCCATCCCAGCCTGAAAGGTGCTTTTGGAAGCTACACCTATTGGGGAAACACAAAAAGAATGAAACAGAATTATGACCATTTGGTTTGAAGGTGCTGGACATTTTGAGAAAGTATGAAGAAATCAGGTGTAAGTACTATTGGGATCATTACTCAAATACTGAAGAAGAAAATCCCTCCTGTAACAAAGTTGACACACAAGGTTGATGGAGATCATGCCTCGGTAATGAGTCCCCAATACCAAATGTGCTGCTCTCATAATAATTTAATTAGCCTTTTTTTCACTACTGCTCACATTTCAAATCATCTTACAGTTCCACATACAAAGCTCAAGGAAATAGTCCTGAGTAAGTATATATATATTTAAAACTCTCACCCAGATCTCTCTTTTCTAAGTCATCTGAGGAAGTACAATTTAGTCACTATGAAATTCTTTTAAATTTTCATTTCTTTAAGCATGACTCTTAAGGAGAGGCTATCTGTAGTCCAAGAGTACATCTCAAATGGGCTGCACAAGGTTTTTCCTTTCTGTACCATCATTTTCCCCATGATTTTGATCAATAAGTAGCTTACTCATAAAGCTTCCAATTGACACCAAGCTTGTTGGCAATAACCACCAGAAATACTCTATTTAGAGTTGGGAAAAAGTTGGGGAAACTGTCTGAAATCATCAAAACACACTTGTGTGAATACGGGCTCAAAGAACTGTCTGTATGAAGGAGAAGCTGGTGCAATATGGGGCAGTAGAATTACACCAAAAGATAAGGAAGGATTAAACCGCATTTAAAAACCACGTGAAAATGTCTACAAAGGTCTCACACAATGATACTCTTAAGAAAGCTGGATGTAGCCAACAAACAAACAGCACCCAAATGAGATGTTGAGACACAGCTCTTGAGACATGTAACAGCAACTCAAAATAGCAGAGAAACAGAAAGCAAGAGAATAAGAAACATGACCTAGCAAGAAAACTCAGAAGAATCAGTTTTCGTGTTCATACAGAAAGGGACGGTGACACAGCACTATGGCAAAGGTTTGTCATAAAGAGACTGTCATTATTTATTCTGTCTTTGTAACAGTAACATGAATGTATAAGGCTTTTCTGCAGCAAGTCTGGATAATCTGTAAGCTTTCAGTCAGCACAGCGACACAGAGCTGCTTTGAAACCTCTTCTAACATCTGATACCCAACAGACATGATTCAACCCCAGCACACGGCAATGGACTGAACACCTTCCAAAGCTTCACTTCTTGATTTCCAAACATGCTGTGCTATTCTCAGAAGATAATGAAAATCAAGTATTGCTGTTTCCAAATAATCATTAAATTGGACAAAGTTTGGAGACACCTTCTTTCCCTCCTTTCTCAGAAGGGAGCTGTAGGTATCTCTAAATCTGAGATGTTTTGGATCCATCAACACAGTATAGCTCTGTTCCAGTGTCTCCATCAGCCAGTCCCTTCCAGAAGCTCCTGGTTATACACCTGATAAAACTCAGATACAGTCCCTTCAAAGTGGCTTCAGCAGTGTGGGAACAACAGCAGCACATTGGGTCATGCCCACCCCTACACACTATTCAGTCACTGACTTATTCTCTGCTGCTGTGCACAAGGAGGTAAAACACCTTTTTTGACTCACTCTGTACCAACATGGATTCAAAGGAAGGAGTTTGGAAAGCCATACCTGTGCTGTTTCACACAGCAGACCAGCAAAAGGCAATGGTGACAGCAATGTGGAAAGAAACAGTAATTTAGAAAGAAACAGCAGCGCCAGTCCTCAGCCTGAAACCTGCCACCCTGCCAGCACCCACCCCGAGGGAAGGGCAGCGGGATGCGCCTGACTCAGCCCAAGCTATGGCCTTTCTGTCTGCTCAGGGCAAAGTTCGCGGGAGCTTCCTGCACCCAGGGTGGCTCCTCAAGGCCCGGAGCCGCCGAGCCCAGGAAGCCGGGCCAGGCTTCCGTGTGTGCTCTCATCCCGACGCTTTGTGCGGGCAGTACCGCACCACGGCAGAAGAGCGGCTCTCAAAGCTGGGTGTGAAAAGTGCCCAGGGAGACAAACCCGCCGTGCCACAGCCCCTGCTCACCGCACCCAGCAGGGCAGGCACACACAGCCACCAGTGGGGCATCCTAAGGGCTCTGTGCTGTGCTCTGCCATTGAGGAGTCAAGGACAAGTCTTCGGGACAGCCTTCACAAGAGTCCCACCTGGACTCTGCTTGGAGTTGGACCACAACATCGCACACACCTCTTGGGTAATTCTAAGTAACATCAAAAAATATCCCTGAATGGCGATGCCGCAGATGACACAAAGTCTGTGCTCACATGCCCTTTACAGTAACTAATCACCATTTAGTTACTCGACTAGCGAAAGGTGAAAGTAGCTAAATTCGTTTCAAAAGTTTTTGTTTTCAATTTTTCATTGATATTAATATTTGCCTTAATTAAGGAAAAAAAATAAAAGAAAACTAAAACCAATCCAAGTTTTATATTACATCCATCCCTGAACCTTGTACTTTACAGCAAAATCCTCCCCCAGGACTGCCCTTTACCGGGTCCCCGACAGCACAGGAGTCGCGAATGAACGGAAATCAGATTTCAGGCGGGTTGGTGGGATCCAACTCCTATCTGATCCAGGCGGACGATGCAGGGATATCCCCCGACCCCTGACTGCAGGGAAATCACAGCCCGAGAGGAGGGGAAAGCACAGAAGGAAGGCAGGAGGACGGACGGCTCATCCCTTACGTGCGGAGCGCGGCGGGGCTGCAGAGCGGGACGCGGAGCGCCGGCGGGGACCAGCCCGGGAGGGACAAAGGGGCGCTGCCTCCGCGGGCTGACCGAGCCCAACCGAGCCCAGCCCGGCCCCTCAGCGCCGACCGCGCCCGCTCCCGCCCACAGGGCGGGCCTGGCTGCTCCGCCCCGCACCTGCGGGAGTGCCCCGGCCCGGCCGCGCCTCAGCCGCGCACGCGGAGCCCGACCCGCGGCGTGCACCTGCCCGCCCCGCCCAGGGCTCGGCCCCCGGAGGTGGGAGCCCCGGGAAGGCGGTCGGGGGCGGAGGCAGAGCTGCGGCCAGCGGTACCCACCTGCTGGGCGGGACCAGCGGCGGCACCGGGCGGGCGCTCTTTAGGGACCGCGCAACCGAGGGGCGGGGGGGGGGGCGCGGCGGCTGCGGTCCCTTTAAATGCGTGCGGTGACGTCACGCGGCCGCGCGCTCCCCCGGGAGCACAACAAGAGTCACGCTCGCGGCCGCCGGGGCGAGGGGCGGGGCTTGGTGGCTTCCGCCAATCAGGGGCCGCTCCGCGCGGAGGCCCCGCCCCTGGCTGCGTCGCGCGGCCCCGCGCGGCCCGTCCCCGCTCGCGCGGCCCGTCGCGGTCCGAGGATGCGGGAGGCGCCCGCGCTGCCCCGCGGCCCCGCCGCCCCCGCCCCGCCCGCTCCCGGACCCGTGCCCGTGCCCGGTTTCCTCGCCAAGCTCTGGGCCTTGCTGGAGGATCCGGACAGCGACGACGTCATCTGCTGGAGCAGGGTGAGGTGGCCGCTCGGGCCCGGCCCGGGGAGGCCCGCGCGAAGGACTCGAGGGTGGTGGGGACGCCGGGCCGGGCGGTGCCGGAGGGTCCCTGGCTGCCCGGAGCGTGCCGGGCCCGCTTCCCCGCCCCGCTTGCGGTGGTGCTGGCGGACAGGCGTGCCCGGGGCCTCCCCCGGTGCCCGGGCCCCTCCCGCGTGCGGCCCGCGGCGGCGGCGCTGGAGCAGCGGGACATCCCCTGGGGACAGTCCCGAATTCCCGTCAGCGGCTCCGGGTGGTGAAAGGACGCTGTCAGGAGCCATTAACTGTCAATTTTCCTTCCGGAGCGGAGACAGATGTGCCCCGCGGGCTTAGGGCACGGACACACCGACCAGACAGCCCAGACACGCACTGTGTTTATTTTTGTTCCCTGTCATTTTTTAATTCCGTAGGATTTTTATCCACTTTTTTTCCCAGCCGTTTGCCCTTTACAAAGGCAAAGATGAAAAGAAACGCAGTCTTTTTGTTCCCTTCATTAACAATATAAAAGTGATGCAAAAAGCTCTTCCTGTTTCCAGGAAGTTTGATTTTGAGCATATAATGAATCTGGCACTGCTGGTGTCACGCTTACCCCTGGTCACCGCTGGGTTGTGTTGTCTGAACTTTCGGTAACTCAGCAACGTTCCGTGGTTATTTTTAGTGATGACATAGCACGTACAATGGAAGAATCTTGTCAGGAGCTGGGCAGTCTGATGAAGGGAGATGAAATCTCATTAGGAGCGTGAATTCCGTTGGGCTTGTGCAATGTTTATGTTTCCTGGGGACAAAGGGAGCAGGTTTTTAGAACAGTTTTGCTATGGATTAAGATCAGTGTGTCAGGGGTTTAAAAAAGATTCTTTTTTTCAATAGAAGTGTTCCATGTAATTGTCTTTGAATTCAAAATTTTTAGTCCAGTCACAAGTACTCAGAAGTGTTCCCACAGATCGTTCACTGCTGAAGCCTTTTGCCCTTCTCTGCTGTCAGAACAGTCTCTTCTGATTTATGATCTTCATTTAAGAACAACACCTTAGAAAAGCTGTGCTTATTCACTAACTGTTACTTCTGTTTATTTCCTAGAATGGCGAGAATTTCTGCATTCTGGATGAGCAGAGGTTTGCCAAGGAGCTGCTCCCCAAGTACTTCAAACACAACAATATCTCCAGCTTCATACGGCAGCTCAACATGTGTAAGCATCAGCGGTTCCTACACACCCTGCCAAGTTCATAGCTGCTTTAAACAAGCAAATGGACTTGGCAAGCCTTTCATCACTAAAAAGCTGACCCTGGCCTTAAGTTTGCTTTGCAAAAGAAAAGACTGATGGTAGAGCTTGGTTTAGTGTTTGGGTCTTGTGTTTTAGCTCTAAGCCCTTTTGAGTAAGAGCTGTAAGAATATGTGCTGGCGCCTAAAGGTAGCGTGAGGTTCCCTGAGCTCCAGCGTTGGTCTTACAGCAAACGTGTACCCAGGGGAATAGAGGCTGTGTGTGCATCCATACACCTAGAAGGTGAAAAATAATTGCCTGGATTTTGGGATTACCACTGCTCTTGCCTGCTTTGCTGTGTTGGAATCAGATCATCAGCTTTGCTGATGGGCC